AGATTTCAACACTTCACACAGCTCGGCACCACAGCCCCACAACATTTGGCTAACCTCACTCAGAAAAGGAAAAGTCACACACACACACACACACACACACACACACACACACTCTCTGTGTCTTAATATCTTTGTAGGGACATCTAAAATTGAAATAATGCTTTCCCTAAACCTAACCATGAAACTAAAACCACATTTTGGGTCTAAAAATCAAACTTATGGGGAAAAACTCCTCGTCCCCATAAGGACTGTTGGTCCCCACAAAGATATGTAAACACACACACACACACACACACACTCTCTCTGTGTCTTAATATCTTTGTGGGGACATCTAAAATTGAAATAATGCTTTCCCTAAACCTAACCATGAAACTAAAACCACATTTTGGGTCTGAAAAATCAAACTTATGGGGAAAGACTCCTCGTCCCCATAAGGACTGTTGGTCCCCACAAAGATATGTAAACACACACAAACACACACACGTTATAAACTAACCAATGAAATTTATATTTGAGGCCGTCCTGTTTAATTAACAAACGTATGCAGTGATCCACGACCGGCTTTGAATCACACCACGAATCAGTGTGAATAATTACAACCGTGCGAGTGTGGAGAGCTGCACGATGACTAAAGTGCAACCCAAACGAAAGAGCAGACACACCTTCACCAGGTGCACACACACGTGAATTTCACACCAACTGTGTTGGAGCCCAATTTACTTTTAAATGAAAGAATATATACAAAGTGTCCGAGACGTCAACCGAACTTGAAACAAGTCCGCGCTGTACTCTCATGCAATGCCAATCTGAACCACAAGGTGGAGCTCACGCTACTATCATCATTGTCACTTCTGTTGGTAGCTATGAGAACAGAGACGCTAACATCAGATGCTTTTTGGACTAACCTCACAAAAACTGGAGAGCGACTTCTTTCGGTCAGATCAGTGCGCTCCTCAGGAACGCTAAGTCTGCTCTAATTACAGCAGAATTAACAGGCGGGTATGAGCGTCCAGCAGGGTAACATGTACACGCAACAGAAAGCACATTTACCATCAGAGAAAGCAGCAACAAATGTGTCCACAAGATCTGTGCAAGAAACAGAGGAAAGATGATGACCGACCGATATGAGAAAATGGGCAGCAGGCAGTGGAAACGGTACAGTGTGGTCTATGAAATGCATTCTGGGATATGACCTCTAGTAGTGAGCAGTAGTGGGATGGTGACATAAAAAGCTGGTACTCACTGCACTTCCTCTAAAGGGAGGGGCTTCACTGGAGGGGGAGGGGCTCTTCCTGAGGCTCCACCTCCTCCTCCGAACTCTGTCCGTTCTCCTCTCTCACCTCTTCCTCTTAATCTTCTGGAAGCTCAGGCCAGCAGCACTCTGGGTAATCTCCCGCGGGGTCTGAAAGAGGAGAGAGACGTCAGCCAAGTGTGAGAGAAAACTAAAGATGGATCACATCGAGAG